CGGAGGTGTGGTACAACAAGGTCGAGGACGGGGCGGCATGGTTCATGAGGAAATGGCACAGGCAGGAGGCGGAAGCGTCCCCGAAGCGCCAGCGCGCGAGGGAAGCAGAAGCAGAGAGTACGGCCATCTCGGGACCGAAGAGAAAGAGAGCCAGGGAAGCGGCGGTGGGGGGGGAAGAAACGGCGACCGGGTGCTGTTGTAGAAGCGAGTAGGGCGGCCGAGGCAGCACTTGTGGCGAACTATGTACCCGGCTGATGTTGTTGCGCCCTGTTTCCCTCCCTGCTGTATGCTATACTCCTTTATGTATGCCCTTTGTATTGCCTGCGGCCTCTATGCTGTGTTTCTTTTTTTTTCATGTCCTCCCTGCCTACTCTGCCGTGTTGGGTACCTTGATCTCCCTTTTGCTGTTGCTTTTGTTTTTATACATCTGGCTGTCTGCCCATCCGCCGCCTCTTTGTTCTGTTGGCTCCGTTGCTCCCATGCCCTGGTGCGTGGTGCCTGGTGCTGGTACGTTACCCTTTGATTTTTTCTTTGGGCGGGTGTGGGAAGCGCACTCCTTTATTTATTTTTTTGTTATTTTTGTCTTTCTTTTATTTTGATCGGTTTCCGAGGGCTCTTTTCTGGACCGGTCGGTGTGGTAGCTGTTCTTTTCTTTCTATCATTTTGTTTTCTTTTTCCGAGTGGTTTGTACCCTATTTTTGTTTTTGTTTCCCCGCGGCGTCGTGTGTGCCGGGTTTTGAGACCACGGACTCCACATTTTTGTGGACTATAGAGCTAATGTGAGAAACGACGACAACAACAACAACAACAAACAACAACAACACCTCTACTCCGAAACCGCTCTGGTTCGATTTTTTCTTGTGTGATTTTTGGTGCACGGTACCCGGGAGTGGTCCTGTTGATGTGTGTGTCGGCCGATTATATACACTGCGTCCCCAAATCTGAAAAAAAGAGAAAAAAACAATAACGCAGCATCACACACAGATAATATGTCATACAATGTTTCTTGCTTCGCCCCGTTGTAGATTGAAATCTGCCAACCAATTACGCAAGATCACACACAACCTACATGTACACATAAGGTTGGGTGTTTCACCCGTGTTGCAACTTGTTCTATACGGACTTGACGGCCGAGGTCGTACAACGGCAGAGCGTGTCGTTTTTTGTTTGTCCACAAAGAGTACCGTCCGTCGCTGCAAGCGGTTCGCAACCCGTTGCCGCCGTGTCTACATCGGCCACAGCTCTAGCTTGATTGCAACAAGCGTTACGATCGTTGTCCCGGTGTAGTTTACCGGTCCATGGTGTCGCAATATGTTATTATCGCTACTGAGGGCATCGCTGCCAAACCGGATTGGTATGTAGTAGTATGTAGTTTTGACTACCGACGTGCATGCGTGCCACGAGATTTTGGAACCGCTGTTCAGGGCATCCCTCTAGACAGGGAACCGCGAAAACGGGACCACGATCGTATGGTGTTTTCTCTCTCTGTTCCCGCTCTCGGATACGGTTGGATCGGCCGCGTTCCGAGCGGATACGCGGCGTGGAAGGGGGGCACTGTGCGCTCGCGCGCAAATTATCCCGGACCCTTCCATATTTGCGTAGCACCGAAGCAAGCTCCGTGTGTATGAGAATCACGCAATACTTTCTTCTCTGCCACGTCAGTACCTGTCCAACGCGGAAAGAAAACAAGGAGATTTAGCTTGTCATTCGTCACCCCGCGTTTGCTCATTTTTTCGACATGTATATTTTTTTTCTTTCTACTGTTTCACAGTACAATTTGGCACAGTAATCGTCTCTGCCTGTTTTGCTTACACCGCCGTTTCGTTTTTTCGTTTTTCTTTTCCTTGCAAGTGGTTCTGCTGGCCGATCTTCGTGCTCCTGATCCCGTACGTGATCTTGGTGACGATCGGGGTCATGGTGATCCAGTACGCCCTCCCGTGGTGCACGACGGAAACTGCTGGCGGCCGCGTAACGACGGTGAGACGAGATCGAAGCTGTACCGTAGCACGGACGATTTTTTGGTGAAAATCTTGCGGGTTTTGTGGGCTTGTTTCATTTGCTGTAATAGGTAGCACGAATTATGTCTCGTACTCGAAAGCGTGTGCGAGTTTTGTGGTCGTTTTCCGTTAGCTTTTTCTGTAGCACGAGATATCTTTATTTGTGAGTATTGTGGGCGTGTTTTATTAGCCGTAATTGTAGCACGAATGGCTCTTTACTAGTTGATGAGCATATTGCGGGGATTGTGGGCGTGTTCTTAGCTATTCTGAATCACGAATTATTCCTCTCAATTGGAATATGTCGAGTATTGTGGGCGTATTTCAATTTTATTCGAGCGAAGCGAGATTTCTAATCTGGCCTGAGGTCTCACCGCAATATAGGGGCTGATGCAGGAAAAAAAGTTTGTGCAACGATGTTCGCTTAAACTAGGTTTTAGAGTACATGACTTGATTTTTGACTATAGGGCGCACTTCTTTTTTTTTTTTTTTAGAACACAGCAGCAGCAACAGCAGACAACACGCGCTCAGCGAGCAGACTGACACTGAACACTGAACACACGCACAGCAGACAACACGCGCTCAGCGGGCACAGCGACACACCAACAGCGCAGAGCGGACACAGCCACAGCGGCCTTCATGGCATGGCAATTGTATGAATAGACTTCCGTTGCGGTCGATTGACCCGAACTCCCTCCATGAGGCGGAGGCGCACACAGACTCACGGCGCAGACAAAGCCACGGGGAGAGAGGGAGGCCCTAGGCAGCCCACGGGGTTGAACAAGGTGAAGGAGCTGGGAAGCAGGGTACCTTCTACACACTGCTGTTAGACAACTTCTCCTTCATACAAAGACTGTATGTAAAGCTATTAGGGAGGAGAGGAGGTCAATCTCCAGCACCAAAGGCATCATGTCATGCGTCGGCATGGATAGAGTTGAGCGTGCCGGAGGAGGGAGATGTATGGATGGTTGCATAGATGCGAACATATATATGTATTTGTAGTGTTTTCGGCATTGCGGCAAGCAGCACGAAAGAGCCAACAGACGTCATATCGCCTCCTTTCCTTTTCCCACACCATTCAACACTGCTTTCGTGCTGCGACAAACTGCGACGGCATGCTGTCACTCATGCACCCAAGCCATAGGATAGGGCAAACTCCTTCTTGCTAGGGCCAGGCTATGGCAGTCAGTCATGGCGGCCAGGTGTCTCGCGCACGACGGTCAGGTTGATATTGAACGTAGACGAACGGGTGTAAATTCCGGCTTTCTTTGCGGCCAACAAACAGCACAATGAGACTGCAGACCACCTTGCCACACACATTTGCGTGCCATGACGACGGCGCGCTGTCACGCACTCAAGTCATGGGATTGGGCACACTCCTTTTCGGTAGGGTGACGCTATGGTAGTCATGGTGGCGCGGTGTCATGCAGGAGTGTCACGTTTGGCGCGGTCGCTGCCGCGGGTAGGTCGTGTACTGGGCAATCAAATATTTGCTGAGAAATTTGTCCGACATCAACGTCATCCACCTGTCAGGCCTGTCACAGGTGGTCAGAAAAATTTCAACACCAGCCCACAGCAGTAGTAGGTGTAGTGTCAAGTGTGTGGTGTTTACGCTCTGTTTCCGCCCGCCCGTGGACGCACACGTCTGACGACAGTTATATCTATCAGCTGTCGCTCGTTGTAGCGACAGCTATCCTATCTTAGCGTCGACTGCGCCTACCAGCGGCTGTTGAGAGCAAGGTCCCCCAGACGGCCACGCGGTGTGCGTTCTTTTTCTTGGGGAGGGCAGGGCACCGTGACATGCGTTTTTTTCCCGCACAGAAAGCCACTCAGGCGCAACCCGACGCGGTAGCAGAGGTTTTCAACAAACGTGTGTGCGAAGGGGATCCAGCAAGTCGTGAATTTCCTTGCGTTGTGCCCGTTCTGTTTTTGCTGCCGTCTCCTCCTGGGGCACAGCTAGGGCCCACAATCAGATAAGCGTGTGAAGAAAGACGTGGCTCAGGTTCGTACGACAAACTCATAAGAAACACGCCTCAGAGGTGGGATCCTACACAGCACCCCTTAGCAGTGGGCCATGCTTGAAGGGGGGTGGCGACGAAAACGCCTCTGAGGGCCTCGGCCCAGTCTTGACGTTACGTATATCATCTGCAATCTCCCCCAACTTCTCGTGCTGTGTCTGCTTGACTACTACGTTCTCTCCGGATGTCGTCTTAAAATGATGTTGTCGAATTCTCCTTTGTGTGACTCCCCCCGCACCCCCCTCATGCGCACGCCAGGACGAGAGTGAGTGCGCCGGGTACGAAGCCGCGTGGGCGCTCGTCTTGGCTATCGTGATGGGCATCATTTTCTGCTGCTGCTTCTGTGGTGTAAGGTGAGCTACCGCTACGTCGAGTATGCCTCTCCTCTCTCGCTACATAGTCTCGTTCCTCTCTCTCTCTCTGCCTGTCGTGAGGGACACCATGTCCGGGAGTTTCTCTGTGTGTGCAACGTTGGGTGGTGTTGTTTCGGTTGTTGTTTTAATGTAGTGGCGTTGTCTAAGACATATAGGTGTGCGCATTCTTTCTTACTGGGTGATATTGCGGAGCCCCCTCTCGCCACGGGAGATGGCTCGATGCCAGCGTCTCTTCTCTGGGTACTTTGTCTCAACTGTTTTCTCTGTTTTTGTAGGTTGTTTCTTCTATGATGGAAGGGTTCCACCCCCCCCCCCCCCCCCCCCCC